TCTTTCCATACTTTTTGGGCATGCTCATAATCTTTTTGGCTAATTTTACCATGAAGATATGTACTAAATTCATGAATAGGTGGAAGCTCAGTCTCTAAAAATCTATCTTGTGAATCGATATACTCATAAGAATAAACTCCTTTACACTTGCTAGTGAAATTTGATCTGAAGAATAGTCTCTAAAGTGCTGACTTGTAATAGGGTGGTTGGTACCCAAATTTTTCATAAGATTTGCCAAGCTATTATTCATAAATTGCATGCTATCTATATATTTTAGCTGACCTACCTTCATAGACTTGTATCTCTCAAATGTTTCAGCTATAACCTTGATTTGATATGCATTAACTGATTTTCCAACAGATTCACAGACTAAATGAGAGTCATAGCCCCGAAAATTATGAAAGACAATTGGGATAGGAGTTTTCCATAGTTCTATCTGAAGTTTGAGATTGCAAGCATTGTGAGCAGGTCCTCGAAACTTACCTGTTATATAACAATGATCCCAAACCTTATCTTTATTATCTGTATCGAATTTATCTTTACATATCCAGCAGGTATTTGTTTTAGCAAATTTTTTCTTGTCTTCTTCAGTCTCAATTCGGTCATGCTTTATAGATAAGACCCTATTAATTTGAACTAATTCCTTATCAATTCTTTTGATAATTTCTTAAATAGCATTTTCTCCTCTATATAGGAATGGGCCCTATACCTTTCCAGTATCGATCCAGTGAACCAAGTAGCAAAAGCTATTGGCCTTTTGTTCAGCAAGCTTTCGCATTTGGCCTCCATATTTCTCATCGCATTTCTTATTATCAGCCTCAAAGTCAGCTATAATAACACATGGAGCATCGATCATTCATCCATAGTTCTTAAACTTCTCAAAGTCATTAACACCTTTGGTAGGTAATTTAACTCTTTGGGTAGCTTCTCCTAATCCGAAACAGTGCTTTTGATAATAGGCTAAGATTTTTCTGATTGGAAGCTATGAAAGCACTGGTTACATAGATGCTTTTTAACTTTTTTGGCATTATCTTTATAAACCAATCCATTTGGGTTTTTAATACAAAGGAAATGGTTCTTTTGCCCATACTTATCATCTTTGGATTTGGTAATATCTGTAAGAGCCATAAGATATATAATATGTTGTCTATTATAGTTCTTGCTAGCTATTACTGGTTTGGGAGTAGCTGTTTCTTCTTTCTATTCCAAATATTAATAAAAATATCTGGATTCATCTCTTCTATCTTATTGAATATATGTAAGCAAATTGGAGTAGGTATAGGGATTCCATCTAAATTAACTATATCTAAGTATTGCTTATAATCCTTTTTAGTAAATATTCGTTCAAGATGTTCTGTATATCCATCTTTATGTGCATAATAACAAGCTAATGCATCTTGAAGACAATTATTAGATAGCATATCTGTAACTGGATTAATTATTTTTGAATTATCAGAATTGATTTGCATTTGGTATTGGCAAGCTTCTTTGGTGTCAAGATATATGATCCACCAAATGCTCTTTGATATGTATAAGCTTCAATAGTTAGCATTTTAATCCTTACCAAATTCTATCCTGATTCTGATTTTATAAATGAGTCTATTTCGTTATCTATTTCTGATATGAATAAATTTATATGTTCATTGATATCTTCTTTTGTAAGAATAACACGCATAAGGCTTCTATGATAACCAATCATATATGTTGAAATTTTAGATTTGTCTTTTCCTTTGCTAATATGCCCATGATATATATATTGAGCAACTAATGCAGTTTTTATTTGATCTTTTTTCCGCAATTCGACTTTAAGTACCCTTGTAATTTGCTCTCTTGCATTTGCTATAAGTTGAGGCATATATGGAACCTCTAAATATTTATTGGGGTTCTCAACATAACAATTAAATCTATATTTTATATTTTCAGGAGATAAAATAATTGCTTGCCATAAACCCATTGCTGTTAAGTTCTGATGGGGTCTTAAAGGATCTAAATTAGATTCGCATTCTTCGAATATTAACTCTTTGTTCGTTAGTCTATAGTTTTTTCTTACTGGTTTACCACCAAAATTACCTTTTATCTTTATAATATTTCTTTTTAAATAGTCATAGAGCAAGGTTCCAGCTAATTCGGTCCATTTTTCATCAGTATTTGTATTATATTTATCTTCCATATTATCTAACCATTCTGTATCATTTTGGGGAAGATGAGTCAGAGACTCGAAGCTAAGCTTCCTCGAAGAAACATTGTCAGAACTTTGAATAGGTGAAGAAGGTGTGTTATTCAATTGGATTAAATTACCTACTGGAATATAGGTTTGGGTTGGAATTTGATCTGTAGCTAAATTTTGTTGTAATAGTATTGTAATAGAATTTGGAATATTAAGTTTACATGGATTTTTTCGTTTTAGATGTATACGAAGTTTTGCTAATTTAGGAAAATCTTTTCCACATCTATTACATGTATATATTATCATAGTAAAATAATAGTATGAAATTGTATATGCATGCTGGTACGAAATTCCTTATCTGTTACTTATAATATATTTTTATTCAATTTGAAACTTAATATGTACTAGACATATATAAAAAATGCAGTTAGGTGAATATATATGCAATTTCCTTTTATATACTGGAGAGATATGTGGACAGTCATGTATGAATTCTAAAGGGTGTTGGCTTCATAAAAATGCTATTAGGCGTTATCCTTGTACTGATTGTGGTAAACCTACTTGGTCTAAAAGCGGTAGATGTCCTGACCATATTAGAAGCTATTATGTTAGTAGACATTATCAAAAGTATTATAAAAGGA